CTATAATATTGACCTTACTACCGTAGCTATACCATCTTGTGCCCTGCATGACTCTACCACTACGACCATCATCATTGTGGCCCTAATAAGTCCCCATTAAAAACCTCTTTTATCTCTTCCTTCCAGCCTGACGAACCAGGTGGTGGCGCTGAAGGAGATCCGGCTTCAGGAGGAAGAGGGAGCGCCCTTCACCGCCATCAGAGAGGCTTCGCTCCTGAAACAGCTCAAACACGCCAACATAGTCACGCTGCACGACATCATCCACACGCGGGAGACCCTCACTTTCGTCTTCGAGTATGTGGTGAGTATGTGGAGAGTTTTTTTCGGGGGGATTCTGGTTAATGGGTTAAGGGAGGGAGTCTGGAGTCTCTGGGATTCTGTGGGGGATCTGGGAGTATTTTAGGACTGTCATTGAAGATTCTGTGGGATTCGACTGTGGGAAACACGGGGACGGTTATTATTATTACCATCATATTGTTTTATCAATATTATCGGTATCCCCTTTCTCATCTTTATTAGTATTCGCGTAATTATTCTTTTTTGTATTTTTTAAAAATTAATTTTATCATCATTATCACCCTTACCTAAATGATAAATTCCTCAGTATCCTTCTCTCCGCCCATCAGTACACAGATCTGGCACAGTGGTATTGCTTACATTATTCTCGTCACCATCATTATAATTATTGGCCTTATCAGCACCACTTACATCATCATTTCCTTTCTCTTTACCATCAACACTTTCCGTCTCCGCCCCATACTACACGAAGTATTTACCATCATAATTTTTAACACCCCTAGCTTTATCGTTACTATTAACTTGAGGTTAATCGTCATTTATTTTCCTGTTATCATTATCACCATTTAAGTATAATGTGCATACGTATTTTTATTTCTATTTTTATCTGTACTTTTCCTATCATTATTATCTTCAGTTTAATCATAATGTGTACTCCTATTATTTTTATTTCTATATTTATCAGTTCTGCTTCTATATTTATCATCACCATTTTAATCATAGAGTGTACTCCTATATTAACCACTTCCTCTCCCTCTCCTCCGCCAGCACACGGACCTGTCGCAGTACCTGGAGAAGCACGGGGGCGGCCTGCACCCTCGGAACGTCAAGCTGTTCCTGTTCCAGCTCCTGCGCGGCCTCTCCTACTGCCACCGCCGGAGGATCCTACACAGAGACATCAAACCCCAGAACCTCCTCATCTCGGAAGTTGGCGAACTCAAGATCGCGGATTTCGGTAAGGACTGGTGTAGGAGGCCCTGGTTGGTGGATAGACAGTGTTGTAGTGTGTTTTCTTTTGGAGATTGATTTGATTTAGCGTTTGGTGTGTTTTATATGTCTCGATTTACACCATTCTAAATGTTTTGTTTTTTCTCCCCTGTCCTTTACTCTTTTCCCTCTATCGTCCGCTTCTTTTTCTTCTTTCTTTCGTCTCTTTCTTATTTCTTTTACGTTTCCATTTCTCTCTCCTCTCCTTTCCTTCTTCCTTGTTCTATCCTCCTCCCTGTCTATCCTTTACTCACCCCTTAACGCTCTCACTTCTCTCCCGTACCTTCTCCTACATCCTACCTTTCCCTAACCCCTTCACCCCATACTCCTTCCTTCCTTCCTTCTTTCCCTCCCTTGTACATCCTTCCCTCCTCCCTTCTTCCCTCCCTCCCCTTCCCACCTTCCTTTCTTCCCCTCCTTCCTCCCCTCTCTCCTGCCTTCTCCGCACAGGCCTCGCCCGCGCCAAGTCCGTACCGTCGCACACGTACTCGCACGAGGTGGTGACGCTGTGGTACCGGCCTCCCGACGTCCTGCTGGGCTCCACGGACTACTCCACCTCCCTGGACATGTGGGGCGTCGGCTGCATCTTCACCGAGATGATCACGGGCGTGCCGGCATTCCCGGGCGTCAGGGACATTCAGGACCAACTCGATAAAATATTCAAGGTGAGACAGTTTGTTTTGATCATCTGTTTGTCTTTATTATTTTTCTTAATTTGATTTATTAATTTTGAGACAGTTTTTTTTTAATCAGTTTATCTGTATTCGTTTTCTGTTTGATGTATTAATTCCCGGCGGGTCTTTTTATGATAATGATTATAGTATTGTACGAATACTATAATGGCAATGTTACAGGTAAAATGATATAGTCTACTATGGGCATAGTATTGATAGTTATAGTTTTAATAAATGTTATCATCAGTATTTCCATTACAAGAATAAGAATAAGAAATAAAAGGAGAAATATGATATAAAAATAACTAAATAAAACTAAATAACTAAAAAAAGAAAAAAGAAAAAAAAAGAAAGAAAAAAAAAAAAAAAAAAAAAAAAATATATATATATATATATATATATATATATATATATATATATAGAGAGAGAGAGAGAGAGAGAGAGAGAGAGAGAGAGAGAGAGATCCCTGTCCCGCCCACCAACCTCTCCCCTCCTCATGCCCGCAGGTGGTGGGCACGCCGACGGAGGACACGTGGGCGGGGGTGACGTCCTTGCCCAACTACAAGCCGCATCGCCTCGTGCTGTACCGGCCGCGCAGACTCGCCTCGCTCTTCCCGAGACTCAATGACATTCCCCATGCTGAGTCGCTCGCCATGCAGTTCCTACAGGTATGTGTGTTTATTCCTCCTTCGTTATCTTCTCTCTCTTATCCATCTTCTTTTCTTGTTCTCTTTATCCACCATCATCTTCATCTCCTTGCTTTGAATAATATTTCCCCATCCTGAGTCGCTCGCTATGCAGTTCCTACAGGTATGTTTGTTTATTCCTCCTTCGTTATCTTCTCTTTTTCTCTCTCTCTTATCCATCTTCTTTCATTTTTCTCCTTATCCACCATCGTCATCTTCATCATCGTCTTCTTCGTTTGAATAACATTTCCCATGTTCAGTCGCTCGTCAAGCAGTTCCTACAGGAAAGGTTCTTTGTTTCTCCTTTTTATTTATTTTTTGTTTCGTATTCATCTTATTTTCTTGTTCTTCTTATCCACCATCATCATTATCATCTTAACCTTCTTCCTTTGGACAATATTCTACATGTTGAGTCGCTCGCCCTGTAGTTTCTACAGATTGTCCCTCTTTTCTCTCTCTCCCTTCCTCTCTTTTATTTTCTTCTTCTTCTTTTTTTGTTCTTCTTAGCCGTCATCATCGATCTCATCTTCATCTTTGTTTGTTTCTCCTACGTTATCATTTTCTTTGTCCATCTTTTTATCATTCTTGCTCTCTATTCATCTTCTTCGTCTTCCTCTTATTATTATTCTTAGTCTCTCGCCAGGCAATTCGTACAGATGAAGGAGCGTTTGTCTGTTTCTCTTTCGTCATTTACTTCTCTTTCCTTATCCATCTTTATCACCTTTTTCATGTTTTGTCCTTCTCCTTATCCATCTCCATCTTCTTCGTCTTCCTTTTCTTCATATTCTTATTCCTCTTTTGAACGACAATCCTTCGCTGAGTCTCGGGGGGGGGGGGGTCTTCGTTTATTTATTTATTCTTTATTGTTATTATAAACTTCTTTCTTCTTCTTTTTAGTCAACTTCATCGTCGCTTTTTTCCCATCATTTCTTCTCATCCATCATCATCATCGCCTTTTTTTTCTCTCTCCTACTCTTCTTCTTCCTCTTCTTTTCTATTTTTCTCTTCTTCTTCTTCTTCTTTTTCTAAACGGCATTTTCCATGCTGGGCGTTTTTTTCTTCTTCCTCTTCCTTTTCTCCTTCTTCCTCTTCATTTTCTCCTTCTTCCTCTCTTTCTTCTTCGCCTTTCTCAAAACTGTATTTTCTATGCTGGGCGTTTCTTCTTCTTCTTCTCTTTCTCTTCTTCTTTTCCTTCGTTCTCTATTTCTTTCATCACCTTTCTCCATATCGCATTTCCTATGCTGCGCGTTTCTTCTTCTTCTTTTTCTTCTTCGTCTTCTTCTTTTTTTCTTTCCTTTTCCAGGTCCCATCGCCGTCATGTTATTTTTTTTTTCTTTTTCATCGTTTTCTTTATTTTCTTTCCCTGCTCCTCTTCGTCTTATTTAATTCTTTTAATCCGCCTTTTCTTTAATATTATCCAAAGTTTACCCCAAGACAATAATTTATCTTATAAGATAAATTACTGTCTTATATTTCCCGGTAAAGATAATGAATAATATAGATATATTTCATTTAATGATAAGACTTGTTTGTATTTTTAATTGTATTTTTTCAGTGAGCATGAACGAATCTATTTTGCCATTCATGGTTTAATTAGCGTTGAACAGCCTTGCGAAATAACGTGCAAATAGCAGCTATCAATACACTGTTTTCCAATAACAGCAAAACCGTATTGCAAGACCTGACTCCCGAGCACTCCCCAATAAAAAAGACGAAAAAAATAAATATATAAAAAAAAGGAAAGAGAGGGAGAGAAAAACAAAAATAATGAAAATGTTTAGTCAAGTCAATAACCTCATCAGACATTATTTGCGATTTTTTTTTTTCAATTGCATATTTTGCGGTCGAGTGAACCAGTTATCATTACATCAAGCCCAATTATTTCAGTGTGTTATTATTAGAGAATTTGTTAAATGATTATTAAAGTCTGACGTTCAGTATGTGGAAAATGCTGCCAGAATGAGATTTTTGCTTAATTTGGTTCTGTGTTGGCATGTTTTTGTTAAGCTAAATACGTATTCTTTCACCCCATACAAATATATAGATAGATATATGCACTATACAAACACGCATGTACACACACACACACACACACACACACACACACACACACACACACACACACACACACACACACACACACACACACACACACACACACACACACACACACACACACACACACACACACACACACATGGACACTACACATTCACTGTTATGCACACATAAACAAACAAACAACAGAGACAGCAAGATGACGACGAGATCCAACAGCACTTAACAAGGATAACACCAGAAAGCCTCTTCTCTTGCAGATTCAGCCAAACAAGAGGATATCCTCCGAATCAGCTCT